ACCCTTCATCCTCGGACACAGCGTGCTTGTGTGCTTGGGGCGCCTCCCCCGGCGGGCCCGGCGGGGACGGCGCTCTGCCCTTCTTCCGGGGTGCCAGCCCTGCGCGCCGCCTCGGGGGTCGGGCCGGAGGCTCTGCCGAAGAGCTGCTCAGCGGGGGGCTGGCGGATTCGCCGCTGTCTGCTGCGCCCATTTCAGCTTTTGAGGCTGCAATGTCCGCGACTGCTTTCGCAATAGCAGCGGTCGCTATCACAGCATCTGAGGTCACTATATTCACAGACGTCGGCGAGGTTTTCCCATCCGGGGAGGGATATGCTGCTTTTATCTCGATCTTTTTCACACTTGTGAAGGTTTTATCTGGCTTGTGTTCTCGGTCTTTCCACTTGGGCTTTTTATCTGGCGAAGAGACAGGCAGGACCTGCTGTTTGTCCTTCCGAGCTGGGCTGACTGCCTTCTCTTTCTTGTTCTTTAAGTCCTTTTCAGTTTTCGACGTAAAACTAAACTTTCTCAGAACGTTTGGCTTTTCTTTGTTTCGCATATTTTTCACCACTGTGGCCACGAGCTTCTGCTTGCCCTCGAAGGAGTAGTCACTCCTGGAGTCCCTGTTGTTGAACAGGTTCTCGCTGCTCTTCTGTCGCATGGCCCTCACAAGGACGTCCTTGTTCCAGATGTTTTCTTTGGCTTTAATGACTCCGCCGCTTTTTTCCCCCGCGCCCACGTCCTTTTCGACGTCTCTCGTTATGATGAAGTGCCCGTGAGACCTGGAGCGCGCGTGGCCCAGGACCTTCTTCCTGTCGTGCTCGCCCAGGTCGCCGTTGGCGTCGAGGGCGCCCCCTCCCTCCTCCCGCCTGTTGTCGAGTCCTCCTTCCACCGACTTGAACACGGGGATCCTCCGCACCACGCTGGGCTTCCCGCCGACGCCGTTGCCATCGGACACCCTGCGCAGGGGCGCGTCGGCCTCGTCCTCGGCCCCGCGCTCGGCGAGGTTCAGCTCCGACGTCCCGATCCTCTTGAGGTTCTTCTTGGGAGAGGACGACGAGGAGGACGACCTCAGGCCCCGCGACCCGATGAAGGCCGGGGACACGATGCCGGCCAGGAACGACCTGTTCTTGGGCGCCGCCTCCTCCGCCCGCGCCGACCGGCCGCCGCCCAGGTGCTTCCTGACCTCCTCCCTCGTGTCCAGGAACCGCTCCGACGGCTTCCTGTCCTGCGGCGCCGAGGGACACGCCCCCTGGCCGCCGCTGACCGACGCCGACCTCAGCCTCAGGGGGGACGCGCTGGCCTTGGGCGGGCGGCGCGGGGTGGCGGGCGGAGGGGGGTTGGCGGCGTGGGGGGCGTCTCGTGGAGCTGCTCGAACCGGCCCTTTTCATCGCGCTGCACGCTCACTCGCGCCTCCACCGCCATCGTGAGGGGACCGCCGCGGCCTGAAAAGGGGGCGAGGTTAGAGGCAGGGCTCGCTTGGCTGGGGGGGGGTGCGCGCTGGCGTTGTTTGTTTGTCTTGGGAGGGAGAGGGAGGGAGGGAGAGGGGGGGAAAGGAGAGAGGGAGGAGGGAGGGAGGGGGGAGGGAGTATGGAGGAGGGAGGGAGGAGGTGGGACGGGGGAGGAGGGGGGAGGGAGTGGGAGGGAAGGGGGAGGCGAGGGAGGGGGAGGGAGGGAGGGAGGGAGAGAGAGAGAGAAAGAAAGAAGAAAGGAAAGAAGAAGAAAGAAAGAAAGAAAAGAAAGAAAGAGAGACAAGAGAAAGAAAGTTGCGTGTGTGTGGGTTGAACTGATGGTACAAGCCACAAGTAACGATGAATTAGGCATAAATTACATTCAATCAACGCTGTCTGATAATTTATGAACATTTTCAATATTCACAAATGTGTACTATTTTCGTTTAAGAACTTTGAAAAAAACAGAAAACAAGAACATTATAGGTCCGATTATCAGTAAAAGAACCTAGGGGAAAAAAGGAATCAATAATAATGGATATAACAATGATAAATAACATACAGAGTAATAGTATTCTGAACAATATACAAAATAATACAAACATTGATGAGATCGATGAATGAGATAATAATGGTGATGATGACTGATGCTGAATGATGAAAGATATGAATGAATGAGGGGGAGGGGGGGGGGGGAGGGAGAGTGGGGATGAGGGAGGAGTGGAGTGAGGGGAGAGAGGATTTGATTGTAATTTTTTATTTGTATTTGTTATTTTTTATTTATTTATTTTTTGTTTATTTTTATGATTATATTTTTTTATTGATTTGTGGATTGTGATTTGTTGATTTGATCGATTTATTTATGTCTGATGATGATGATGATAGTGGTGAGGTGAATGATGGTGGATCGAGATGATTGGTGAGATGATGGATGATGATTGGTGAGGTGACGAATGATGATGACTGGTGATGGTGATGAATTGCGTGATGATCGATGAAGATGATGATGATGAGGTGAATGGTGTGATGGATGATGATAGATGATTGGTGCGATATGATGATGAATGAATGATTGGTGATGGTGATGAGGTGATGATGCAGCAAATGTGATGGTGATGATGTGGAATTGACTGATGATGAATTGTGATGTGATGATGATAGATTGGTGATGGTTGATTAGGTGATGACGAGATATTGGTGATGTGATGATGAGATTGATTTTGTGATGGTATATGGATGGTGATGTGAATGATGATGATGATGATTGCTGATGGTGAGATAAAGACTTGGTGATGGTGATGGTGAATGATGAGATGAGATTGCTGATGGTGATGCTGATTGAAGATGGATTGGTATGGGTGATAGTGATGGTGATGATGATGATATGATATGATGGATGGTGATGTGGGATGATGATGATTGAATGATGATGATTGAAGAGAATCGATGATATGGGATGATGATGATTGATTTGTGTGATGATTGAATGATGATATCTGGTATGAATGGTCACGGTGATGGTGATGATAGATGAAATGAGTAGACGATGATAATCGGTGTGGTGATGTGAATGGTGAGGGATGAATAATCGATGATGAGATTATAGATGATTGGGATGGTATGGTGCATTGTCGGATGGTGAATTTGTCATTGATGTGAGTCGAGTGAATGATCGATGATGATGATATGATGATGATGATTGATGGATGATGATAGTATATATTGATGATAATGATAATGATAATGATAATGATGAGATGATGATGAATGTAGATGATTGATTATGAATGATGATGATGATGATGATGAATGATGATGAATGAGAAATGATGATTGATGATGATCGATGATGATGATGATGATGATGATGATGATGATGGATATGATAATGATAATGATAATGATAATGATAATGATAATGATAATGATAATGATAATGATGATAATGATGATGATGAATGATGATGATAAAGATAATGATTAATAATTATTTATAATAATAACAATAATGGTAATCTCAGCTACAGTAATAATAATGGCAATAGTACTAGTACTAAAAACAAAAAATACAAACAATAATGATAATACCAATGACAATAACAACGCCGGACAACAAATAGCAACAATAACAAGAAAACAATAATTGAAAAAAAATCAGTCATCCTTAAAAACTAAAAATAAAAAAATAAAAATAAAAAATTAAATCAATCCAACTAAAAAGAAAAAGAAAAACAAAGATCCCAACTAAAAAATACATACAAAATAAAAGATACAACCACAAAAAAGTCCGAACTCAAAAAAAAAAAAATCCCCAAAATCATTAGAAAAAAATACAAAAAAACAAACAAATAAAAAACCCAACTTCCCAACTTAAAAAAAAAAAAAAAATCCCACCCTAACTAAGAAAATAAATAAATAAATGAATAAAATAAAAAAGGAAACTCCCAACTTTAAAAAAAATCCCACCCTAACTAAAAAAAAAAAAAAAAAAAAAAAAAAAAAAAAAAAAGAAAAAAAAAAATGGAAGCCCTCTCAGCTGACGTAAGAACCCGGCGCCGTTCAGTCCCGCGGTTCGCATTAACGACCGTCGTTAATTGGTCGTGCGGCGGGAGCGTTGAACCCTTCGCGCCGCCCATTGCAACTACAGTTAAGGGGTTTATGGGGGGTGGGGGGGGATGGGTTAGGGGTGGGGTTGGATGGGGTTATGGGGTGGGTGGGTGGGGTGGTTATAGGGAGGGGAAGGTGGGTCTGGTTGTATCTGTCTGTTTTTGTGTTTGTTTTCTTCTGTCTGTTCTCTTGTCTTTCCCTTCCTTTCTCCTTTGTTTTCTTTCTTTCTTTCTTCTTTCTCTCTCTCACTTGTCTCTCCTATCATATCTCTTTCTCTCTTATTTCTCTCTTCTCTTCTTTCTCTCCTCTTCTCTCTCTCTTCTCTTCTCTTCTTCTCTCTCTTCTCTCTCCTCTCTCTCTCTCTCTCTCTCTCTCTCTCTCTCTCTCTCTCTCTCTCTCTCAAAGTGCAAAAGCGCTTATTTTGTTTTAAAAAAAAAAACAAAAAAGAGAAAGAAATAAAGAAGGACACGGAACTAAAAAAATAAAAATCAACAAAAACAATACGTCCCGATCATCATAAAAAGAAAATTATGAAAAAAAACAACAACAGAAAACGGAGCAGTGAGAAAGTCGTTATTTTTTTTTAAATCCCAAACGCTTTCACCGAACACATGCAATACATTTTCTTTGAATAATAATCACAAAGAAAAAAGAATGAAACAGAGAAAAAAAAGAAAGAGAGAAAAGAAAGAAACAGATGGAAGAGAAAAAGGAAAAAACGAAAATAAATAAAAAAGAAAAACAGATGGAAGATAAAAATGGAAAAAAACGAAAAGAAAACGAAAAGAAAAAGTAAGAAACAGATGAAAGAGAAAAGGGAAAAAAACGAAAAAAAGTAAAAACAATACGTGTATACATAAATAAGCAAAGAAAAGAAGGAAAATCAACTAAATCGACTAAAGGAAGACAAAGAGACACGATTACAACCTAAATGTCTGTGATTTTCGTTCAACTTTCTCTTCGTTACGTCACTGTTATTGTTCATTTTTTGTCTCTCTCGATAAATTCCTTTTGCGTATATATATATTCTATTTAAACAATTTACTTTTTCATATTTCTTTCTTTCGATTTATCTTTTTTCGATAATTTTTTTTTAAGATACCTTTAGTGTCTGTTTTATTAGCATTATCATTATCATCTAAATTAATCTAATTTGCGCACATCTGCTCTGATTTTTATTTTATATCGACGTTCTTTCATACCATATTTTAGTTTCTCCTCCGATAAAGTTATTTCAGTATATCTTTTTCACTCCAAATTCGAGAAGTTGTATTTCGGCATATATCAATTTTCATTAATTTTCAACTTCCTTCCTTCGCTAAAACCTTACGAGTTACTTTCTTTTCATTCCCCTTTCGAAAAAAAAAATAAAAGTCTATAGCTATACATTCCTTTTCAATTCCATTTTCTTTCGATGAAAATCTTGTTGACATTTTTTTTTTCAGGGGAGACTTAGGTAACAGAGTACCGAATGGCTTGTGGTTAACGTTACATACATACGTTACGTCACTAAGCACAGGGGCGTGTCTGTAACCGAGCCGCCACGCACGCTGGCTCGGGTACAAAGACAGACGCAAGAGGAGATAGTGATAGGTGTAAATACAGATATATATACTAGTGTAGAATTATGGAATATATGTGTAGATATGAACCGAGACGACAGATATACACATCGATAAGAAGACGTACAGAGAGACAACCAAGACTGACAATACAGAGCAGATGAGGCAGAAACATGTCCAGCGAGAACGACCAGGACAGATCAAAGAGAAAAATACAGACACTAGCAAGACAAATACCCACTCCACCAACACAGTTGTGCACAACACATATGCACACCAAGCACGCACACAATCAACACAGAACACACACACAGTCAGCACACACAACACACACCATCAGCACCCTACACACACAACCCCACCCCACACATCAACCCCCTCCACCAACTACACACCAACACCCTCCGCACAAGCATGACACTATCCCACCTCCTCCCGCCCCCACACACATACCTTCAACGTCTCCCCCCCCACATTCACATCCTCAAGTCCTCCCTCCCCCCTCTCCACATTGACACACATCCTCAATTCTCCCCCCTCCACTAACACACAGGACATCCTCGAACCTCCCTCCCCAATCATGCTCTCTCTAACCCCCCCCCATGCTCCCAGCACTTACACATCAGCATTCGCTCTGAACCTCCCCCCCCCACACACACACATCCTCAACTCCCACTCCGCTCAACACACATTCCTCAACCTCCCCCCTCTTTGTCCACACACAGACACATCCTCTCATAACTCCCCTCCCTCCCCACACACACAATCTCAACCCCCTTCCCCCACCTTTCCACCCAACACGAAACGCAGACAGTTTTTAATTGATTATTTTTTCCTTCTTTTCCCAATTCTCAAGCATTTTTTTTTTCTTGTATTTTATTTCCTTTTTTTGTCTATCTGCTGTTCAGAATGTTCCACTCCATGCAGACATTGCATATTCGTGTAGGTAGAAGTTTTCTCTTCTGATATTTTTTCTGCTGGTTTCTTTACGTTTTTTTAGTCAGTGTCATTTGCTTTTTGCTTTTTTTGAAAGGTGCGTTTGTGGCCGTACACTACGATCTTCTGGGTTGTCTTGAAGCGATATGTTTGGTTTTGTTTTTGCTTTAGTGGTTTTTTATTTTATTATGGACGGGGTTGTGTTGTTGTTGTGTGTAGTGTTTGTGTTTTTTATCTAAGCGCTGTTGGTTTGTGGTTATGGGTGACGGTTGTGTGGTTGTAGTGACTGGGCGGTGACGGTGGTTTGGGTTGGGTTGTTTGTGGTGCAGGAGTACGGGTTGTTGTGGTTGTTTGGTGGGTTTATAGTACGGGTTGTGTATTGTTGTTGTGGTGCCATAGTAGACGGGTTTGTTGTTTGTTTCTATCTGTTTAAGTTACGGGTGTGTGTTTCTTGGTGTTATAGTACGGGTTGTGTTGTGTTGTTTGTGTGTGCACAGTGGGTTGTGTTGAAGTTGATTTGTTGGTGATCCTATACGGGATTGTTGTTTGTGTCGTATATTTGGTTCTTGTAGCTGGGTTGTTGTTAATGATGTATTAGGTATTGATGTGTGGTGCCGAGTTGATCGGACGGGTTTGTTCGTAATTGTATCTTGGTTAAGTAGTTTGTTGCATCAGTACTATCATTGTGATGTTTAGCGTTGTTATGTGGTTTTAGTACGTGTGATTGTTGTGTTTGATTCGTGAATTTATAGTAAACGGTTGTGTGTTTTTTGTGATTTGATATACGTGTTTGTGATTTTGATTTAAATATCCGATAAGTGTGTTGTTATGTGTCAATACGGGTTGTTTTGTTGTTTGTGGTTCAAGTACGGGTTTGTTTGTTGTTGTGGGCAAGTACGGTTGTATTTTACTTGTTTGTATCCTAACTTAAGATTTTTTTTTTTTTTTTGTATTTGCATCTTCAGTAAATGTTTTATTTTTGCTGTTTGTATTTCACGCAAAGGTTATTTTTTGTTTACATTTCATGTTGTTTGTATCTCAGGTAAAGGTTACATTTTTGTCGTTATGTTTTGTTTTAGTTTTAATGCTTTGTATTCTAAATACACTTTTATGTTTGTTTCTACAGGTTTCTCTGTTTTGTTTTTTTTTCTTTTTGTTTTGTTTTTGTTTTTTTTTTTTTTTTAGACGCAGTGACAGTTTATAAATAGAATGGTTAGGGTTAATAGTTCAAAGCAAAATGAATATGCTAGACATCTAAGGTCATACAGCACTAGAGGAAAGTATAGTAAAGGGTGATGACAGGTGATCGTTGCTATGCGTCAAATATCTAGAGGAATCATAAATAGAAAGTCCTTGGGATCTGTCACTGGCAAGGGGATTAGATCTGACGTGCTTTGTATCAAACTCTTTCTGAAAACATAGGTACAGGAATATCTGCTTATATTTAATCTATTTTCGTCTAGGAGAGTTCATTTTCGTCAAGGGTCTTTCATCACTTTATTATTTTTCTTTAAGAAACAAACAAACAAATGTACATATTAGTTTTTGAGGAGAAAACGTTGATTAATTTTCATTCGGATATAACAACCTTTATATAAGAGAAATTGGCAAACAGATATATATATATATGATATGATCTGTTTTATTTTTTTTTTTTTTTTTAATACCCGAATGAAAATTAATCAACGTTTTCTCCTCAAAAACTAATATGTACATTAGTTTGTTTGTTTCTTATAAGAAAAATAATGAAGATTAATATCTAATATACCCATTTCACGTATCGATCCGCGTTGTATAATAAAAAAAAAAAAAAAAAAAAAACACGTAACATACACATTTCACTTATTCATCGAAAAGGAACAATAAAAAATAAAATCCTGAACGACTGGCCGTCACGAAGGAGGCCCCGTGACACCCTCACCATTGACAGGCTCCTCGTGACAGCCTTCCTTCCAGGGCGCAAATGAGGGCGGAAGGTTCCTTGTGCCAAATATGGAAAGGGCTCCGAGGGCTTCGCTCCTCTGGGCTGCTTATCGGAAATTCGGATAGAGACGGAGTGACGGACTTCCTGAAGGGGGACCGGTAGAGGTGGTGGTCTTGGGACGCCTTCTCCTATCCCCTCCCTATCCTATCCACTCAAATCTTCCTATCTACTCATCCACTTCAACACTCTTATCACCTATCCTATCCACTCGGTCTTAGAACGCCTTTCTCCTATCCTCCCATCCTATCCAACTCAACTCTTCTTCCTCATCCTAAAGGTTATCCACCTCCACTCCTATCCACTCCCACATTTTTAGAACCCTTCCTATCCATCATCACTCGGTCTTAGAAGCCTTCTCCTATCCACTCCAAGAATCTTTCCTATCTTACTCATCCACTCCATCTTTTATCCACTATCACTCCTTCTCCCATCTACTCATCCACTCGGTCTTAGAGCGCCTTCTTCTATCCCTCCCTATCCTATCCACTCAAAATCTTCCTATCTACTCATCCACTCCAACCCTCTTATCCACCTATCCACTCCTATCCACCCATCTACTCATCCACTCGGTCTTAGAACGCCTTCTCCTATCCCCTCCCTATCCTATCCACTCAAATCTTCCTATCTACTCATCCACTCCAAGTTTTTATCCACCTATCCACTCCTATCCAATATCCACCCATTCCTCGGTCTGTCCCTGCTTTCCCCCCCGCCTGATCTCTCCCTACTACTCTCTTCTTCTCTGCCCGATTCCTCTTTTTCACAGGCACCCTTACGCCCCCCGCCTTCCTCATCCCCTCCAGACTAATCCAACTCCAAATCCTCATTCCTCTACCATAAGGAAGCCCTCCTCCCCTCCTCCCACCCAACACCTCACCCTCTCCCCTCTCCCATTCTTTATCCACCCTCTCCACTCCCCACCCCCCCATCCCATTCCTTCTTCCTACTCCCATCTCACCTTCTCCCTCTCCCCCTCTTCCCCATCCCCCCTCTTCACCCCCTCCCCCTCGCCCACCCCTCCCTCAAAGCCTTAAGAGGCCCCGAACAACACATGGCGGTCATGAGCTCTCCCACTCACGCCCCCCCCCCATTTAGCGGTAATTTCCACGGGGGACACATGCGCCCATGCGGTATGTGGGATCAAGGAATCGGCGGGTTTGTTTTGGTGTGGCTCGTGTGTTTTCGTGGGGGTCGGGGTCTGTCGGGTCTGTCGGGTCGTCGGTCTGTGGGTCTTCTGTCGTCTTCGGGAGGCGTGGATATGTACGTATAATTCCGCGGTATAAGCAGAAGCATAAACCAACACACTATCAGAAAATACCCCTCTCTCTTCTCTTCTCTTCTCTCTCTCTCTCTCTCTCTCTCTCTCTCTCTCTCTCTCTCTCTTTCTTTCTTTCTTTTTCTTTCTTTTCTTTCTTATCTTTCTTTTCTTTATCTTTCTTTCTTTCTTTCTTTCCTTTCTTCTTTCTTTCTTTTTTCTTTCTTCTTCTTTCTTCTCTTTCTCGTCCTGCTCGCTCTTTCTCTCTCCTTCTCTCTTCTCTCTTCTCCTCTCCTCTTCTCTGTCTCTCTCTCTCTCCTTCTCCTCCCTCCTCTCCTTTTCCCCCTCTTCCTCGTTTTTTTCCCCTCTCATCTCCCCTTTCCCCTCTCTCCTCTTTTCCCCCTTCTCTCCTTCCCCCTCTCTCTCCTTTTCCTCTCTCCCCTTTTCCCCTCTCTCTCGTCCTTTTCTCGCGCTCCTTTTCTCTCTCTCCTTTTCTCCCGCCCTCTCTCTCCCTTTTCCCCCTCTCTCTCCTTTTCCTCCCTCTCTCTCCCTTTTCCCTCTCTCTCTCCTTTTCCCCTCTCTCTCCTTTTCCCCTCTCTCTCCCCCCCACTCTCTCCCTTTTCCCCCTCTCTCCTTTTCCTTCCCCCTCTCTCTCTCCTTTTCCCCCTCTCTCTCCCTTTCCCTTCCCCCCCCTCTCTCCCCTTTCCCCCCTTCCTCTCTCCCCTTCCCCCCCTCTCTCTCCCTTCCCCCCCTCTTCTCCTTTCCACTCTCTCTCTCTCTCCTTCCCCCCTCTCTCTCTTCTCTCTCTCTCTTCTCTCTCTCTCTCTTTCTTCTCTCTCTCCTCTCTCTCTCTCTCTCTGCCCTCTCTCCTCTCTCCCTCTCTCCTCTCTCCCTTCTCTCTCCTCTCTCCCTCTCTCCCTTCTCCCTCTCTCCTCTCTCTCTCTCCCTCCCTCCTCCCTCCCTCCCTCCCTCCTCCTCCTCCTCCTCCCTCACAACACACACAGACACCATACACACATACATACAACACACACCATACATCATACGCAGGTGGATGGGCGTGTGGATGAAGCTCCCTCCCTGAAACGTTGTATCTTCTTCTTCTTCTTCTCTTCCTTTGTCTTCTCCTTTCCTTCGTTTTCGTTACTGCATTTACCATTTCTTTCTTTGTTTCTCCACCTATGCATATCTTTATCTCTAATGCTTTCCCTCCCTCAATTCCCAATCTTCTCCTCCTCTCGGCACCTTTCTCCTCATCCCCTTCTCCCTTCCTCCCCTCTCCCTCTCTCGTTCCAACTCCTCCTCTCTTTCTGCCTCGAGAATTTCCAAGCAAAGGCAGGGCAAAACTCGGAGACTTTTGCCTCAAGCACGAATGTAACTCTCTCTCTCTTCTTCTCTCTCTTCTCTCTTCTCTCCATCTCTCTCCTCTCTCTCTCTCTCTATCTCTCTCCTCTCTCTTCTCTCTCTCTATTTCTCTTTCTCTCTCTGTCTCTTTTTCTTCTCTCTCCTTCCTCTCTCTCTTCTTTCTCACATCTTTCTCCTCTCTCTTCTTTCTCTCCTCTCCTCTCTCTCTTCTCTCTTCTCTCTCTCCTCTCCCTCTCTCTATCTCTCTCCCTCTATCTCTCTTTTCCCTCCCCTTCCTCTTCCCTCTTCTCCTCTCTCCTTCCCTCCTTCCCCTCTTTTTCTCTCCGTCGCTCCCTCCCTCCCTCGCTTCCTCTCTCTCTCCTCTCCCTCCCGTTCTACTCCTTCCTCTCCCTTCCCGTGCCTCCTCCCTCTCCTCTGTCCCCTTCCCTTCCCCTTCCCTCCCTCCGCTCCATGACCCATCGTAAATTAGGCACCCTTAACCAAGGCACATTACAATCGGTCAGCTGGGATGGCAACTCCTGAATTCCAGTCAGCAGTTTGGGTCTGATAGGATTAATTAAGAGAGAAGGAGAGAGAAGAGCAGAGAGAGAGAGAGAGAGAGAGAGAGGAGAGGAGGGAGGGAGGAGGGAGGAGGGAGGAGGGAGAGGGAGGGAGGGAAGTGGGAAAGGGAGGGAGAGGGAGAGAAGGGAGAGAGAGAGCGTGACTTTGTTGGTCTCCCTTGGATGAGGCGGACCTAACCTTGAATCTTGCTCCGCCCTCTTCCGTCTCTCTGCCCCTCCCTCCCTCCCTCTCATCTTGTCACCCTTCTCTTCTCCCTCTCTTCCATTTCTTTCCTCTCCTCACTCTCCTTTCTCCCTTTTTTTCTGAACAAAAGTACCTCCGTCTCTTTCTCTCCCTCTCTCCTCTCCTTCTCCTCTCTCCTCCCTCCTCCTTCCTCTTCCCTCCTCTCCCCTCCCTCTCTCTCTCTCTCCTCTCCTTCCTCCCTACCCTGCCTCTCTCCTCTCCTCACTTCCCTCTCTCTCTCCTCTTTCTCTCTCCTCTTCCTCCCTTCTCTCTCACGCCATCACGTCTTAACCTCCCTCCTCCTCGCTCCTCCTCCCCCTTCTCTGTCACTCTCCCTTCTCCTCCATTCACCACCTCAGCAACACTCCTTTTTCACTGTTCTCTCTCTCTCCTCCTTCTGAACCGCAAATAGTTAAAAATGGAGAAAAAAATACCACGTGTAATAATGATACTAAACTTAAACTTAACTTCAAGCCTTAAACTACTTTGCATTACTGAGCTTACACTTATACAGAGTATATTTCGTAAATATATACAGTTTGACACGCCATAAACAAGTACAGAATAAATGCAAGTTTATC